AAATCTACATTCATAAACTTAATGTTGTATTTTATTACAAAGAAAACATAATGAATAGATACCTGTATTAATGAAATAAATGAGGACAGAAATCATCTTTGAAATTATCATGGATGACCGACCTGCTATGAGAAATGAGTCTAGCTTGGATGAAGTTAGCTTTCTAAGATTGGCTCACAATTTCTGAGAGCTCCCAGGATGCTGTTGGTGCTTCTCAGATTCCATATGGTGATGGGAGAGCTGTAGCAGCATCAACTCACATCCGTCCAGGTTCAGATCTGTGTGAAAGCATCACAGCCTCTGCAAAAGTCTCACGGCTGTCTATCGGCTCGGGAGGTCTTAACCTGAGTTAATCACTATGACCAGGGGAAATAAACAGCCATTCAGAAACATGCCAAATCTACTGCCAGGCATGAAGTCAGCCGCTGGAGTCACTAGACAAGGAACAAAATCTCACATAGAATCAGAAGCTTCCAGAAGCAACGGTGATAGACACATTAACGTTCTGACATTCAGAGCATCTCTTAACTCCATCTTCCTGAAGACGCATGTCTGAGTCCCAGAGAGAGAGAAGCTGGTAACTGAAACTGGTTTAATTAAATGTGTAAAACATTAATAATGACACATTTATTACTCTCCTAGGGCTTTCCAAGAGAGCATAAAAGAAAAGGGAAGTGAAGTTTTAACAAAAACTCTCAGGCAGCTTTGGAATCAACAGAGCTACACTGTTGGGAGGGAGCCATGGTGTCACCCTGGTGTCAGATGCAGCATTTGGCAAGGTGGGGATGGCATCCAGTAAGACCACAACAGTACTCAAGTGAGAAGCTTTGGCACCCTAGGAAGTAACTGTAATACTCAAGGAGATTTTATTTGTTTTTAGACTTTATTTTTTAAAGCAGTTAAGGGTTCACAGCAAGGCTGAGCAGAAAGGACAGAGTTCCTGCACACCCCCTGCCCCCAGGCCTGCATAGCCTCCCCTACCATCAACTTCCCCCACAGTGTTACATTTATGACAATTGTTGAATCACATGGTACAACATTAACACATTCGGGTTCACACTTACATTCTATGGGTTTTGACCAATGTATAATAGTATCGATGTGTATCCACCATTATAGTATCATAAAGAACTTATCTGATTATTGAGAAGAATAAATTGAGCATGTTAGGTTCACCCCATCCTCTGACCCCCGGCTTCTTTTAGTGGTTGATCTGCCAGCAGGAAGCATAAAGTGTATGTTCCCCTCTGCTCCTCTATGTCATAAATTTACACAGGAAGACTCTCCTTCTATTGAGATACATGTACAGTGGAACATTGTCTTGGCAAGAAGTCTCTCCAATTCTAAATTCAGCATTAGAAAGCCCATTGCTCACAGATAGAATCCACACCTCTATCACTAGTAAAAGTGGTATTTCATTTGCCCATCCCCTGTGCTCTATATCTGTCCTCCAATTGCTTCAGGTTTTCAGCAAATACTGGGTGCTATTCATTGGGCCCCCAGTTAATATTCCCATCTGTGTTCTCGCCAGATCCAGCCTTAGGGTTACTAAGCTCATTCAGGGAGCTCAGGGCTTCTGAATCGTAATTGTGAAATAATCAGGAGACATGATTCTCTGTTTTGGTGGATCTAATCTATTTTTTAGACCTAGAGTTTGGGGTAATTCTATAAGCATAATAGAACTCTAGTGAGTCACCCAACAATTATTATTCCAGGGAAACAATCATCAACTAATAGTTATCAAATCACTCTTATCATCAGTCAAGCAGTATGGTTTAATACAAAAATGTATGTGCCTTACCTCTGGTGGTCCCACCCCGGACCCACCCACACCCAGTGACTGAACACAGAGTGTGCTACCAGCATTGCCAGCTTACAGCAATCAGCCACAGTGCTGTTTTCTAAGAACTCACAATTCTGCAACTGTGTTTGTAAAAGATGTGGGAAAGGAACGGTCTTAGTTAGGATGTGAAGTTTTCATTGCATGGAAGAAATTCATTCTAGTGTTCCAGTGATCCAAAGTCTTTGGGTTCTTTTCATTATGACAAGAATTTTGAGTGTTGTGGAAATAATTAGAACTCTCCCAATGAGACATAGAATCTAGAATCTCTAGTAAGTGTACTTGCACTACTAAATCCAGACCCTCTATACTTATATTATCCTCTCATTGATATAAGTACTTTAAAATGCCTCTGACTACTGGACTGGCATGGGAAGTCTAGTACTGTGCTGAGTTTCATTTCTCTGAATCCTTTCGTCTTCCTGTATTTCACCATTTTCAGTCTTCAAGCTCTGACTTGTCCATCTTCAATGCACTAAATTTTTATGAGACCTTGTAAGACTGTGAATTGAACTGATATTGTATCTCGGCTACCTGCAAAATCAAAATCTGAGTTTGTTTTTTAAGAATCTTTGCCATAGATGAAAAAGATAAGAGATTATTTCAATGGTCACAGAATGGTCCCTAGTTTTGTTCTATTACACAAGCTAGGGATTTAAGATTTTGAGGGTTTCATTCTCTTTCTTTTCTAAGCTGTTTAGTTCTGGTTTAATATGGCATCTCCACCCTTAAGAACAGAATCTCCACCCTAAGTTCTTGAATTCACCAAGCCCTTAATACTGGGTCTTTGGATCAGTCAGGGTCCCAACAGATGATAAAAGAACATTCAAAAGGGGCCAAGAAGGGAAGTTTAATTAAGTGTATTTTAAAAGTTGGGAGCAGAATTAATTGTTCCATCCCAGGGCTAGTAAGAGAAGAAAAGCTGTTAGAACCTGGACCTAGTTAGACAGCACCCCACCTCACCCCTCCACCAAATCCATGCCCTGCCCAGAGTCTCGAGATGTGACCTTATTTGTAAATCGGGCCATTGTGGATGTAATTAATGAAGTTAAAATGAAGTCACGCTGGAGTAGGTGGCTTCTTAATCCATATGACTAGTGTCCTTATAAGAAGAGAAAGGACAGAGACAGAAACCCACAGAGAGAACATGTGATGACAGGGGCACAAATTGCAGTGGTGAATCCACAAACCAAGGAACACCAAGGACTGCTGGCCGCACCAGGAACTGAGAGATGCATGTAACAGACTCTTTCTCAGAGATGCCTAGGAGCAAATCTTTGCTGACACCTGGATTTCTGACTTTCCATGGAAGTGTGGGAGAATACGTTTCTGTTGTTTTTTTTTTTTTTTTTTTTTTTTTTTTTTTGCGGTACGCGGGCCTCTCACTGTTGTGGCCTCTCCCGTTGCGGAGCACAGGCTCCGGACGCGCAGGCTCAGCGGCCATGGCTCACGGGCTCAGCGGCCATGGCTCACGGGCCCAGCCGCTCCGCGGCATGTGGGATCTTCCCGGACCGGGTCACGAACCCGCGTCCCCTGCATCGGCAGGCGGACTCTCAACCACTGCGCCACCAGGGAAGCCCGTTTCTGTTGTTTTAAGCCACTCTCTGTGCCACTTTGTTACAGCAGCTGCAGGAAACCAATCACCACACACAGGATCAGAGAAGGAAGCAGCGATAGATCTAGGAGTGGCCCCCCTGATGGAAACTGTGGCCTTGGTAGAAACATAGTCATACATCCTGTAGGCTGGCAGGGAGGGAGCCAGGAACAAATACCCCACTTTTCTGTGGTCCGATCTTCTGCTGGAGCCCACCTGTGTGCAATGCACCCAGAAGCTTGAGGGCAAAGGAGTGCACTGATGCAGTCCTTGGAGGTCAGCCCTCCAGGTACCAAGCAGGTGAGGAAGGATGGAGGATGGACCTGGGGGAGCAAAGGCAGAGTCCAGTGCATTCTCCCAAACCCTGGTCTTTTAATGAGTAGTTTATGCCAAATGATACTTAATTAGCTATTTTTCCATTTTGTGCTATTCCAGGATACTGAGTAACTCTGAATTAAGGGCAAGGAGGGAGAATCTGGCTCAGAAAATGAGCAGGCATGAATGTGGTGAAGGGACCACAATCACTGCAAAACTCACGCCCCGTGAAAATCTGCTCCCCGTATGATGCCTCCCCAGTAAGCATGGCCGGACATCACTCCTGGCACCACTGGCTTCCACCTTTTCTACACTGGCTTCCACCTTTTCTACAAATGCTGCTTGATATTGAAATTGAAATTTCTTGTGACTATCACCTCTACCCAAATGTAGGTTAAAAATACTCTCTTCCTGCTTCCCTCCCCACTCCCATCCTTTTTGCATTATTATCTTCTCCACATTTCTTTTCCAGAGTAAGATATTTGCTGATCAAATGTAGATCACACCACTTTGCTCCAGCCACAAGTCATAGGGAATGCCATTTGGGGGCTTTTTCAATATCCATAGTACGGGATAGTTTCCTGCCCTACCCAAACTTTAAAAAGAGATTTGGTGGGCTTCCCTGGTGGCGCAGTGGTTGAGAGTCCGCCTGCCGATGCAGGGGACACGGGTTCGTGCCCCGGTCCGGGAAGATCCCACATGCCGCAGAGCGGCTGGGCCCGTGAGCCATGGCCGCTCAGCCTATGTGTCCAGAACCTGTGCTCCGCAACGGGAGAGGCCACAGCAGTGAGAGGCCGTTGTACCGCAAAAAAAAAAAAAAAAAGTAAAATAGAGAGGGAAATGTAAGTTACATAATGCTAAGTTGGAGAGTAAATGCGAATTAACAGAATTTTTTAAAATAAAATTTTGACAAACTGAAAACATTGACTATAATAAGATTTTAAGGGACAGATGTAAGGTCCTCCCTTGGTTTCAAAAACCTGCTTAGATACAGAACTGGCAGTATGTGGCTAAGTAATAACACACATGAACAATTTACAGTGATTTTTAGTAAATCACATATGAATTCACAATGTATCATGAACTCTCCAACATCACACTGAGAAAAATAGAAGTAGAGTACTTAAAATGAAAGAAGCAACAATTCTGCTTAATCCTGTCGTAGCTAGACCAATTCTGGTATATGCAATTTGAGGTGCCAAGCATTAAAAAAAGCAGCTCCGGAGGCGAGCTGGGGACGCGCCCAGGGCTATGCTGGGCAAGGATTACATGCTGGCCATCATTCTGGTCAACTGCGATGGTGTGCACAGAGGGTCCCGATGGGAGGATCGGGAGCTGAGGGGGGACGAGGGAGCGCGAAAGGCTACCCCAGCCTCAAAGACAGGGAGGGGCGTGCGTCTCGGAGTGAGGACCAGGGATCAAATGAACCCCGATCCTTGCACTGCAGTATCCAAGGTTGGAAGCCTGGACCCTCAGGCTGAACCTTCAGCGCTAAGTTGTGCCTTTTGGGTTGGAGGAAGGGTTATGACAAAGTGTTATTCTGAGCGCACATATATGCCTTCCTTCTCCAATCCCACGTTCCTGTAGATGACTTGTGGGGGGACCAGAGTCTGGAGGGGGAGCCAGGTTTGCCCCCTGGCTGGAGGAAGATCCGCGATGCTGCAGGTACTTATTATTGGCATGTACCCAGCGGTAGCACCCAGTGGCAGCGCCCAACCTGGGAGTCAGGAGATGCAGAGGACCCAGGCACGGTAGGTGGCGTGTGAAGAGGGGGCCTGAGCTCATGTGTGGATCTAAGCCTGCTGCCACACTGACCTAGCCCCCTCTCTACAGAAGACGGAGGGAATTTGGGGACTTCGGCCCCCCAAGGGGAGATCCTTCTCCAGCCTGGAGAGCTCACTGGACCGGAGGTAACAGGGATAGGCCAGGCAAAAATGAAAGGCTTGGGGTTCCATGGCACTCAAAGATGCCGCTGGACCCACAGTCCGCTTTCCAGCACAGGTTCTGGACTGTGTCCCATGTTTAGGGTTTTGTTATGTGTTCTTGGCTCTATCCCATATTGTTGACTCTCCCAGTGTTTTGAGTTTTGTTCCTTGTTCCAAGCTGTTTTTTGCTACATGTTGTTTTATGTATTCTGGGTCCTGACCTCTCATGTTCTAGGCCTTGGTCACTACCCTAGGTTCTGTCCACGGAGGTTCCTATCCTGTGTTCCAGGGTCTTCTTGTCCTGATTTGGGGCTCTGGTCCAGATTTTGGACCCTGTTCCATGTTTGTTTTATTCTGTGTCCTGTGTGTTGAATTTTCTCTCAAATTCTAAGCCATGCTTTATGTTACATTTATGTAATATGTCCTGGGCCTTGTCTCACTCTGACTTTATATTTGGGACACTATATTCTGGGTCTTATCCCACATCTTGTGCCCATCGAGTAGTCTGGTCCTCACCATTGTCCCTTCTGTAGGAATTGTGGTCCTCTTACGAGCTCTGCTCTATTCCAGTAATTCTGTGTCCTGGTATGGTGAAGAATCCTACATCCAGAGAATGACGCCAGGGGCTAAGGTAGTGATTTGGGCCTGAGGGCCAGCCCAGGGCATTGGGGAGGGTCCCAAGGGAAAGGTCAGGGGTGAGACTGGGCTGAGCAGAGGTAATCAAGGCTGAAGGGAGGTCTCAGAGGGTTTATATATGTGGAGCCTGTGGCACCTCCCACCCTACTTCACCTCTACTTACTCAGGGTCCTCCCGTCCTTTTCCTCAACCCGTCAGTGCTTCGCAGTCCGCTCTCTGGGCTGGGTGGAAGTACCTGAAGAGGATCTGGTACCAGGGAAGAGCAGTATTGCAGTCAATAACTGCATCCAGCAGCTGGCCCAGACTCGTAGCCAGAGCCAGCCCCCGGATGGTACCTGGGGCGAGGTAAGCTGGCTGGCCCTTTAAGGGGTTCAGCCCAGCATCCAGCAGAGGTGGTTGTCCCTGAATTGCCTGTTCCTCATGGCAACCACCTTCATCTGAGCTCCGGGCTGACCTCTCCTTGGCAGGGCCAGAACATGCT